AAATTACTTTTAATGACCCGTGGAAACCCTGTTTTACCCCCATTTTAGGGAAGAGATATAAATAAAAAAAATCAGTTTTTATTTCGTTTTGATATTTCCTTTAAACGTCCGTTTGTGCTTTTTTCCCTCCAGTGTTAAATAAGCTCAATGCAAAACTACAGACACCATAAAGTTTCTATAAAACCACAAATTATGCACAGGGGCTTGCCCTCATGCAGGCAGCCAGTCATTGTGTTTATGGCTAAAACAAGCTGCCACATCAAAGAGGCAAAGTGATGGAAACCACCAGAGGTCTCCTGCTTTTTATTGCTGCGACCACTTTATTCAAAGCCCTCTTATGTACACTTTTAAATCTCTGCTTTGAATTACCCACCATTTCCCCTCGCCCCAATAAGCTTTTAACAGCACCAACCTCCGACAGTTATTGAAGGCACCAATAAGGACCAAATATGAGAGCAGACTAACCAAAGCCGATTTTCTCACCTCTTGTGGAAAGCTTGCTGTAGACTTGAGAGTTGACTTCTTTGTCTCGAAGGTAGCACCTTATCTCCTCAATTGCCTCTCTCATGATGGTGATAAACAAAACAAGCCCCTGGAAACGAGAAGAATGCTACAATTAGACAGATTCCTTCAGAAAAAAATCAATGAAATGCAAAGATTTGAGCTGTTTTAAAGCTGAACACAAATAATGTAAAACGAAGAAGACCAACTGGAATGATTGATAGTTAGAGGAAGGGGACATACCAAAGGGACCCAGTAGGTGTAGAGGGCACCAAGGCGTAACTCCTCGACAAATTGAGAGCAGGCCAGCAGCAAAAAGTACAAGTTGAAGAAGTACTTAAACTGATTAAACAGCACCTGAGGATGCAGAGCGGAGAGGAGGACCGGAGTGAAACACTAAACATGACCAGGAGGGATTTTACATCAGGAGGGGCAAGAATGATCTGGATACCTTGGACAAATATTTTCTATGTAGAATCAAGATGAGACATTTTCCTAATGTTCAAAGTGGGATCACACAAGGGTGTAACTTTGTAATAAAACTGTCAGGTGGTTGCAGACGGACCTACAGCGACTCGACCCGAACGCTTTCAATAGGTTTTTGTATTTTCCAAAAATGACATCAAACATATATTTATTGAAGGCTTTCCTATTGTTGAGAACACAAGACACTGATATTTATATTTATAGACAGTTAGAGAGATGCCTTTTAATGCATTATGTATATATAGGGCCCAAAAACATTAATGTATAAATAAATAACGGATAACAGCCCATTCCAATTTCAAAATCGATAAATCATGCATCCCTAGAAGTACAATTTCGATTCCATCCATCCAGAAAAATACGGATATGTTGCATTTTAAATAAAGCAGAGCATTTTTTTTCTTGTAAACTTTGTGGTAAACTTGGAGATATATTTTATTGCATGTTGAATATCCCAGTAAATCTGTTTCCCCTTTACATCTGCAGCTCTCCCCGCTTCTCTCTGTGCTCTGTTTATAAAGATTTATGAACCTCTTTACACACAGAGTGTATAAAGAGGTTCATAACCTCTTATTTTTCTGCGTTTTGTATAAACTCTGTGTATACAAAACGCAGTTTCCTTTTGTACAGCTTTCAGGCACTAAATGAGCTGCAGCTTATGGGCGCCGCCATTTTTGTTTGCGTAAATACTGCTTTGAGAGCTGTAGTATCGTGGGGCGCCGATAGGAGACGGGGAACCGTGAAGGGGTGATGAGTTTATGGTCGTAAGAACCAAGCTCAGCTCGGTTAACTGATCCAAGCTCAGTCCAAACTCGGTTGCAGAGGGGTAGGGTAAGTGGGGCATTTGTTCTTCATTCTAAGAATTAACAATTGATATTTTTACATCAAAGACATTTTTTCACTAAAGATATTTCAATTTTGACTGTTTCATAATTGAGATTTTTTCTTTTAGGTCTTTCAGTTTTACGTGCGTGCTAACCACTGCACAGCCTGTACGCCCCTTAAATGGTTTTTATGCGATCTGCATTACAACTGGGAGGAAATGCGATTATGACAATAAAGATTGATACAATATAAAAAAGCCGGCTGCCTTATTTTGGTCTATGTAAAACAGGAATGTATAAATGTATCCCAGGTACATTTTTTTTTTACTGTTTTGATACATTTTTCAGACTAAAAAACAAATATAAAATATTTCTAAAATTAGTTCTGCTAATATATACAGTAACGTTCAGTAAATTTGAATTACCGTATTTTCTGGACTATAGAGCGCAACTAACTATAAGCCGAGCCCACTTAATTTTTTGAAAAAACTGGAAGAATCATCTGCTCAAAAGCTGCTGATATCGACTGAACTCTCTCCCACCAAACCTGTAGAGGGAGCAC